TTTTTAGGTTCGATCGGTTCCCTATCTTCGGCTAAGAACCGGACGGAACTTTCGAACGGAACCGATGGTTCGTCACGCTGTAGAGTAAATGAATATTTCGGTAATTTGTAATCTTTTTTCCGCAGAAAAATTTATTAGATCATATTCTCGGTTTTTGCGCATTTTTATTCTCGTTTTTTTTCTTTATTTTTTAAAAAAAAATATATATTGTAAATTTCACTTTTAACGTGTTCAGATTTGATTATTAAAAAAAAATGCCGATAAATTTTATGGGCGGGCTTTTTTCGCCAAAAAAAATTTTATTGTCATCGCAACACAATTAATTATCAAATAGGCTTATCAAAAATTTGCTGATTTTGTTCCTCCGTAGGATTTTTGTATAAATAATTCTAAAATTTTTGTCCTCAATAATTGATTATAAAATAATTTACATAATAACAACTAATTTCTCTATCACGCTTCTTATAACGATTAGATAACGATTAGTTCTTTTACTTATGCATCGTAAAAAAAATCTGGACGTGTAACTTTTTCCTCGGACCAATAAGCACCAGAAGTAACGTTTTATTTTTTTTAATGAAAAGATATTGCAAAGTTCCATGGTCTTATGTTTCAATAAAAAAAAAAAAAGCTCCTTGCTTTCATTTAAAATTTAATCATTCCATTGCTAATTACTCGAGTCAGAGAAAAAATTCACAATTTCCAAAAAATAATAACATTATTATTAATTAATTAGTTTTCTCTTTTTCATTTTATCAATTTAATCAATATGAAATTCGCAACAATTTTCGCGTTAATTTGGAGTGCATGATAGAAGACAAGTTGGAGTACCCGAGAAGTTGATGCTACCTATCGAGATGTAAAGAATATTGCTCAAGGAAATCTCCAAGGAATAAAGAACTTGATGGATTAGTTAAGCCCAAGATCACAGGTACCTAAAATATCCCAACGATTGAAAAAAAAAGTTGATAATTATGATGATTTTGAAATCGCACATGCAATCTTTGCGAATTCGTTGTAACTGAAATTGATTTTCGTCTGAAGTTGGAATTCAGACGATCTTTTAGTGTCTGAAATTGAGATTCAAAGAAAAGTTAAATGAAATTGGAATTCCAATTTCAGATTCAACATTGATATCAATATTGAATATAAAAACGGCTCCATAGTTCCTAAATGAAGCTAACCAAATTTATACCTATTCCTTCCTTTTTGGGAACGGTCATAGCTAATACTATATAAAGCGGAATCAACTGACACCAACAAATATGGCATGAGCTGTGTATAGTGGTAAAGTAACAATTTCAAAAAATCATTTAGTTGAAAATCCTAATAATTTTCAGTTAATATAATATATATTATTTTAAAAAAAAAATTAAATTATTTATAAAACAGGTATAAAAAATGAATATATATATATCAAATAAGAGTAAAACAAAAATTTCTTCGTGAAAAATTCGTATATTATAAAATTAATTCATTATATCAAAACTCGTTGTAAAATAAGAGTTGACTGTAATATTTAATTTAATAAATAAAAATAATTTAAAAATAGACGCTTACGAATGGCGCAATAAAATATCACGTATATACTGCTATAATACAAACCTAACTATATACGGTACGATACGAATTTATATAAAATTAGTCCTTACCGTCGTACAGGACTGGTTTTATATATTATTATTACCCTGAGAGTTCGTCGGAGAATCAAACATCTAATGAATAATGATAAAAACCGTATTAAATATTTTTTTCGTGTACTGAATAAATTTTTTTTTTACTATACTTATTAATTTTTTATTGTATTTCGTCACAACAAGCAACAAAAAGTTTATGCAAGATTTTAGTCACGATGTATTCAGAAAGGTATATATATACCTCATACTTCAAGTTTTCTTTCTCTAAAAAATAAATTTCTTCCTCTAAAAAAATTCTTTCACTAAAATTCATTCTATCGCTCTACAGAATTATCCCCAAAATGAAAATTTCGTTAAATTGTATATTCCTAGGAACGACTGATCTTTCTGATTCTTTTACGGTTCCCGTTTGTGATAAAAACGATATTAATGGAAATGTAATCGACTTTGATGATCTTAAAATTGGAGACCTCAAGTTTCTTATTTGGAATAAGAAAAAAGGAATGTTAAAAATCGACGATCCTGATACTTTGATCCTTTGGAAGGTCGCTCTCGGTGATTACCTTAAAGATATTATTACTGAAGAACAGATTAAAAATAAAGGCGAAGTGTTGGTGCCGATCGAACTTCTTTCGAATTATTTTTCAAATAAAAATGCAGCCAATAAAAGTCTCATCATCATAAAA